CCTTTCCTCCAACCTTTCTCTATAAATATAGAGGTCCATTTGTAAGCTAGACACGAGTTAATAAGCCCTCTAACCCTATCAAACTCTCCCAAGTTAGAATTGTACACAAAACCTCAATTATTTGCAAATTCTGACCTTAAACTTCAAACACCTAATCCACTCGTGCGTTTTCATTCTAAATCATACACAAAGCTTCTATAACTCATATAGAAGCTATTCAAACACCTGTTATACCATTGTAACATCTTCTTCATCATCCTCCATTTTCAAAAACAGAGCTCTACAACTTGACTTATCTAGAAGAATCCAGACACTCTCAATCCAAAGTAAGCATTACAATAGCTTCCTGGGAGTTCAGTGAAGCTATCTAGATCATTACAACACCTCCAGGAGTGCTCCAGCTTCAAACACGATTCTCACTTTTGAGGTAAGTTGTCTAAACTTTGAACTTTATGTACAAGCATCATTAATGTTTACTTTCTGAATAAAAAATGTAAACATCATTGTCCTGAAGCTAACCATGTGCTTACATTTCATTTATCTTGCCTGAGTGATGAGAATTTTCAAACTCAAGTTTCAGAAATTCTAGGGTTCGGTTTGGTACCAAGTAAATTCTCACTCATCTTTGATCTATAGCTTTTGAAATTAATGTGGTTGGATTTGTGGTTAAATTTCAAGCAAGTTTCATGTTTACACTTTTCAATTTGGTTGAGAAATGAGCATTTTCTGAAATTCAAAAATGTTGTTGAAGTTACTGGCGCGAGGAAGAAGATGAAGTCACATTCAGAAATGGGTTTATAATATATTGATTAGTTTGTGCATAAACTAACAGATGTATCACCACCACAGTGGTTAAAGCGCGCGTCTGTGACTATAGGGACATGGGTTCGAGCCCCAGCGGCACCCTTTTGTATTTTTCATGTTATTTTGTGATTCTCACGCCCCAACATGGGCTTCCTGACCTTGGGCCTAACTTCTTTTTTTCTTCTTCTTTTCAGCACCTCCCATTTGTTTTACCAACGCATGCCCATATTTGTTTTTTTACTGATTCAAACAAACAAAAACTAGTTTTTGGGCTTGGCCTTTTCTTTTCTTTTCACACCCTCTAAAATTATTTCACAACACCACAGACCCAATTTTTTTTTTTTTTTTTACATTTTCTTTTCATTTTCTTTTATTATTTTATTTTATTATAAAATCATAAAAAAAATTAGATTTAGATTTTAATTAATTAGCTTAATTTTGATAAACACAAATTAATTTAATTTAATCATTTTTACTTTATTTTATTAACTAATTTAAAAAATAATTAGAATTAAATTTTTATTATTATTTCACACAATTTTTTAAAATAAAACATCCAAATTTTTTTAATTTTTTTAATTTCCAATTAAACTTAAATTTTTTAGGATTTGTTCAAAATAATTAGTTAAACTCCTCTTTTAATTAGAGCTAATTAATTTTCTTTAGTTATGTAATCAAACCTTTTCCATCAAAAATCACCAAGAACAAACTTTCTTTTTCTTTTCTACTCTTTACATTTCTTTGCGTATTTTATTATTTTGCATTTTTATTTATGTAAATGGTTTGTAATAGATAATTAGGGCTTTATTGCTTTCCATCCTCATTCATAATTTGTACCCCCATTCCCAAAGCGTTGTATTAGCGTAAGACATTTAAATTCTGCAATTTATCACTTTCCTTATTATTGTTAGTTTAATAGGATTGTATGACAAGATTAAAATTAATCATAACAAAACTCTAATCCAAGATAAATAATTGAATCAAGCACATAAATAGTCATGTCCCTCAAACGTGGATTTCTTTAGCAAAGACCCTCGATTAAAAGATCATAGTCCCTCGATGACCATTTGATGTTGCCTTCGGTAAACGATCTTAGTCCCTTACTACAATTGCTAGAGCGTCTTACAAATTTCCTTCTATGATTGTACAATGACCCATGCTCGTACCTCACATCCAATGATAGGGCTTTCTACTAACTAATGGTAGGATAACACTATCTAAAGGAGGAGGAAAAGAACAAAGACTTTTTGAGTAGGTAGATAGCTCGTAATCGATTGCTCACAAACTAAAACAATTTCCACACTTCACACTTTCAAAACAACTATTTCCAAAATACTTTTCAAAAACAAATATTTTGTATACATTCTCAAACGATATGAGAATCATTACAAAATTGCCTTACATTGGCATTTTCAAAACATCTTTACAAAACAACACTTTCTTCCACAAATATTTTCAAAACAAACATTTTGTATACATTCTCAACGATACGAGAATCATTACAAAATTGCCGCACTTAGGCATTTTCAAGATATTTGCAAACATACACAAACACAAAGCATTTTCAAAGTGAACTAGCAATTAAGAGCCCGTAGATAACTACGAATGAAAAGGATGCTAATACCTTCCCTTTTCATAACCTACCCCCCGAACTCAAGAAAATTCTCAAAAGTTTTTTCTTGTTCTTTTCACCCCTTTCTTTATTAGATAAAAGAAAAGTCGATGGTGACTCTTGTTATCCGCAATATTTGCGATAAAACACAAAACACCAAGTCAGTTTTCCCACTGTGTTACACTAGTAAAACTGCCATGGTCAAAATCTAGAATCACAACCCTAAGACCATCCAAAGCTCTATTGAAATCTGAATATATACCATATACCACACTGCCTCTTAATATATGATCCCGTAACACTCAAGATTGGGCCCTAGAAGCCACAAAAGTGTATGACTTAGCCTCTACTATCAGATGCAAACTCAATCCACCAACTCTAACAGATAAAGAAGGCATCCTCCATTGAAGATCCCAGAAGAAAAGACCTTCATCAATCACGATGTCTTCAACCTCCTTTCACAACTCTTTATTAAATCAAATAGACGTTTCCTCCATATGATTAGGTTGACACGTTCTTACACCAAAAAATAATTTGGCAATATGCGTACAATATTGAAGTAGAAGAAATTCATTCTCAAGATCCCTTAATTGTGATAGATTATGCATCAGTTTAATAAATTTTTTTATTTCTTTAGTTTTTTTCTTAGGATCTGTTTGGTTCAAATGAATGGAGGGGATGAGAGATAATTTAATGAAGGGAATGAGAAGGGAAGGTAGGGGACGTGAGAAGTTTTTTTTTTTTAATTCTAGATATGTTTGATTCAAAAGATGTGATGGGAGGGGAAGAGAGAGATTTTAATAAAAAAAAAGTTTGGTTCTTGAGAGAATGAGAGATATTTTATTAATAATTTATATTTTTATCCTTATGATCTTATATAAATGATATGATATTCAAATGTGAAAAATTCATACATATTTTTTTGATAATAAAATTTATAATGTTGAGTGGCTAAAAATGTTATAACTTATCACATAACATTACAAAAAATTAAGTAAATTTGATTTGACTTACACAAATTAATGTATGTGTTAATAACAACTTATAAATTGTGATGAATTATATAATAAAACAAATACATAAAATAGCATATTATTGAATAATAATGAAGGAAAAACAATTATAACTACAACTTAAACACAAGTTAAAAGAAATAATTTATTTTATATAAACAAAATATAATAAAATACATAATAAAATTATATAAAAGAATATAATTTTAAAAAATAACTTATCTTATATAAAAAAATATAATAGAATACATAACAAAACTAAAAAAATAAGAGTACTACTTTATTTGATAGATATCGAATCAAGACTTGATATTTCAGCTGCATTCTCTTTTCAGTTCCCACTAATGAGACCTAACTCCGTTATAACAGTTACAAATAAAAGTCATAAGTCCAAACAAACGTCGTTAGTACATAAAACCAGCATTGGGTGCACTTGACCACTGACAATACAAAGAAGAACAACAACAAGACTTACACAAACTGTTCTATAGTTTCTTCATTTTTCTCTCAAACAAGCTTTGTTCTTTTGATTTTGAATTTAACTGGTAAAGCTTCTGTTCCTTTGATTCTCTTTGTTTCATTTTATCTTTGTTGTTGTTATTATTATTCTTTTTCTATTTTTAGCTTTTATATTTAATGAATGAAATGGTCTTTATTGTGCTTCAAAATCCTAACCTTTTTTTATTTTTCAATCATTTAATGTTAATAGTATTGCTTCCTTTTGTGTATTGGTGAATGATTTTGCAGCCCTTTTGTGTTTTTTTTACTAAAGTTTGTTTTTTTATGGTGTTATGAATTATTAACAAAAAAAAATGAGATTTTTTTTTTGCTTTTTATATGGATTTTGTGGATTGTGATGAAACAGAAAATCAGAAAAGTGCAGTTTTTTGTATTGGGTCTAGAGCATATTTGTGTTCTGGGTTCAACTCGAATTTTAAGATATACTATAATGCTTGATTATTGATAATGTTTACTAATTATTTGGTGGATATAATGATTTGTTTGGATCGATGGAAATGGATGGAGTGAAGTAGTATGAGATGGAATAAAGTGGTATTCCATTGTTTAAATCATTTAAAATCGGATGGAGCGGAACGGAATAGAGTGGTATGGATTTCATTCCATTCCATCACTTATTTCTCCCCCTCCTGTTTGGGCGGGATGAAGAATATGCCTTGTTCGTCCTAAAATTTCCAAACGATAGAATGAATCTTCATTCTGCTCCGCTCAATTCCACTGCACTTCATTCTGCTCTGCTCCGTTCACTTTATGTTATCCAAACATAGCCTAAATGAAACGATAGAGTGTGTTTTCATTGCTCTCAGAAGGGTTTTTACCCATACCATTTCTGAATTTAATCAACTTTTCTTTTGTTTATTCTTCAGCAGGGTGTAAGATTAAGTTTTTCTCATTGGATAATTGAGGTGGCTGTTTTTGTTACTGTATTTTTCTTGTATGCAATTTGATGATTTTTGCTCATCTCAGTGGTTCTTTAGTTACTTATACAGTTCTTGGTAATAAGTCTTTGTGTGTGCGAATTGGATTGACTCTTGTGTATGTCAGCAGTTATCATGGGATCAGTTTGTTGTGTTGCTGCAAAAGATCAGACTATTTCCACTAGAAATGGAGGTGAGAGTTTTCACAGAAATCCTGCATGTTCACCATCATTGAGTTTTCAATGGGATAGATGGAGCCGTGTTGCTGGTGAAATTGATGATCTTTCGTTTCTCACGTCTCGGAGAGTCAGCAGAAGTGTCAGCATGGAGTTTAAGGGGTCTTTAAGTTCTGAAAGAGGAAATTTATCTGATGTGGGGAGCACTCTAGAGAACTCGGTAACACCCATGTCTCAGAAGTCCCCTATTCACGAGCAATTGGGTGCGAGTCAGATGACTCTATCTTCAGGTAAATGTTAACTCCGTTATTCTTTTGTGATGAAACATTAGCTTATGAAAGAGACATTTAAAGCACCGCATTGTTTGAAAGTAGATTTTTTCGCTAGATGGATTCTTTTGGCAACTATCTTTGGATTTTACTCAAAGAAACGTTTAAAGCACCCCATCATTTAAAGTACCTGTCATTGCACCAATTAATATATAAGAATAGATGGTAGTGTCTGTGTTTAGAGATTATTATGGCCTTTTAGATTGATTACATTGACTCAGTGTTATCAAATATATGCCATGGCTGCGCTATGGTGGATATACATGGCAGCTATGAAGCACGGACACCCCGAACACGATTCCGACACTGACACGGCGACACCGATAATAATTTGAAAAAATGAATAAATTGAACATAAACCCAAGTGTCGGTGCAGGTGTCCGGCATCGACACAGACACGGACATGCCTTATTTCAAAGGTGTCAGTGATACATAGCATGGCAGTTTTTGGGCTATCTGCAATGGTAAATATCAGTCGATATTGTGGGTTTTTCCACCATAATCTTCTATAACGGCACCGCAGAGCAGTCAGTGTGAGGGACTTTGGTTCTCCCCCATGGACCACCATCTGCCGTCCACAACACTGACTTCGCCCTCTATGTGATGAGGAGGTGATGAAAGGATTAGTCTAAAGGCTGGCATGAATATAAATAGATCTCCTGTACCTCGTTTTCAATGACGGGATCGTCCACTGAAAAACAAATATAAGGGCTTAGAACTCCTTTATCTATAATCATTGATCTATTAAAGGGTAATTTAGTATTTCTAGTTGTTTTAATAACTTCGTTATTAAGTTTATTCTATTAAGGCCTATGTGTCAGTTTACTTTGTGGATAAATAGACTAATGATTAATGTCATTTAATATATTATTCCTTACGGTTTTTGTAGCCGTTATTGCAGAGCAATAAATATATTATCTTAATTATTCTTTTATGTTCTACATCACCTTGTACACTAACTAACATGCTCTTTCAAGACTCATTTTCTTTTGCAATAAAAATGAAAAACTTGGTTTTACAATCTTGCTCATGACTTGAATGGTCATATTATATATGCTGTTTTACGATATGAAAATTAGGACACTCCTTTCTATTCACCATGTTTCCTTGGCTATTTATTTTTCCTCGTTCTGTTATTGATTTATCTTCCACTTTTTTCTTGTTGCAGATCTATCCATGTCAAGTAATTGTTCTACAATGGTGAGATTTAATTCATTTGAACTGCTGAAATTGATTACAAGTCTTTTACTGTGTAGCGCTAACCCAACTCTTATCTATATCTATCTTTAGGTGAAGAATCTGACAGAATCACCGGAGATTGCAGAATCTTCAGTACCAAATCTTTCTTTTTCAATATCTTCTTCTTTCTCAACACCTATAAACCGTAATCTAAATCATCACAATCTTCCTAGCTCAACACCATCTAGATGGGCTCATCGATCTCCAGGACATCCGCTGCTGAGACAAATTTCTGATAGTAGAATCCTGGGTCTGAAATCACCCGACAACTCAATTTCCGAGGGAAGGCCATCATTTGTACTGTCCACTTGCAGCAATGACATGGTAACTGGATCCCAATGTGGATCATCTGATGGCTGGTCTATGCGCACCTTTTCTGAACTGGTGGCATCGTCCCAAAAGGAAAGGTGGTCATTTGACAGTGAGCATTTAGGTTCAGGTCGCCACAAGATAAGTGGAACTAGTAGTAGGTTCTCCTATTCTCCCTCCATGGATTTACAATCTTGCCGTGCCTGCTCCAAGCTCTTGACCGAGAAAACTCCATGGAGCAGCCAGAAATTTATTTCCAACAACGACCTCTCGGTTGTCGCTGTGCTTGTCTGTGGTCATGCCTATCATGCAGAATGCTTGGAGACCATGACATCAGAAGCAGATAGTTATGATCCCGCTTGTCCAATTTGCATGGTAGGAGAAAAGCACGTGTTGATGTTGTCCAGAAAAAGTCTTAAAGTCGAATCAGAAACGAAGGGCAAGAGCTACAAGATATCCCGAAACCGTGTTGTTGATAGCTACTTTGATGGAGGATTAGATGTTTTTAATCGCCAAAAAGATGTAGTTTCGAAATTGGAGCCTAGCTCAAGTTCAAGAAGCTCATTAAGAAAACCCTTCTTGAGGCGGCATTTTTCACTGGGATCGAAGTGGAATCGATCTCTGTCTGAGAATGATTCCGCCAAGAAGAAGGGTTTTTGGGCGAGATATCGCAAAGATTGAGGTTCCTTAACCATAACTATTAATTGCTGCAGCTCTCTAATTATATTTGTAGCACCAGCAAGTTAGGATTTACTATTTGTATGTTGACCAGCTTTACTAATAATTATAGATTTTATCTTCATTAAATTTTGTGCTAGTAAGAAATTCCTACTCATGCATGGAGGCAAAGGAAACAAGTTTTTTTATTACTATATTAATAGCACACAATGCATATTAAGTTAAACAACTAATATTTATTTATTTATTTATTTCAGATTTATAATTTATAAAAAAATAACTGTGAGACACATATTTACAGATAATATAATTTTTATGCGGACTTTTTTATTTAAGTCACACTTTTCAATTGCTAACAATTTTTGACGTCATCCTCATAGACATTAGAAATGACTTTGTAAATAATAGGTTGAGGATGAGCTTTTTCAGATTTGTCTCTTTTTTAGAGAATTTTGGTCTAGTTTCTCTCTTTTTTGTGTATCACCTTTCTTTTTTTAATATACAACCTTTATTAAAAAAAAACCTTGTGTTTTGATTGCTTATTTTTTATATGTTTTTGACGCCGGATCTTTCAAAAAAGAGTTTGAGTTGAGAGATATTTTTTTCCGACTGAAATTGTAAATTTGTGTAGTTTTTCAACTTCTTGATTTTTATTTATAAGTTAGTTAGTTTCTTTTGTGATTTTGTTGTTGTTAAGACTAGTTTGTGAATCACTTCGAGACTCTTATACTCTTATTTGATTATGACTTATTAATTTTTTGAGATTTTATTAATTAATGTGTTTTTTAACCTATAAATTATTATTATAAATAATAGTGAGTTAATAGAGTTGTACAAAATATGACTTAGTAATAATAACAAGAAAATTATTTATCTTATTTTTTAGTCTTTTTTATTTAATTAATTATTAATAAAATCTTTAACATTAGGAGTAAGAATATTAATTTTAACATCGATAATTTCTTTACCAAAAAGTGTTGTTTGTGATAATTTAAAATTAGTACATAAAAAAATGATAAGAAAATTAGCAAACAACGATAAATCTAAGAATTGAAGAAATAAAAAATGAAATCTCTTTACCGGTCACTTAAATTTTGTACATACAAAAACAAACCATGATAAAAAATAGCAAACAATAATAAAATTTACTAGTAAGTACCATGTGCCTTATCAATAAAAGAGGGTAAGTGACACAAAATCTAAAAAAAAAAAACCTGCATTGAATTATTTCATTACCCCAATTTTTATCTTTTCAGACACGTCTGACTGCATACGACGCACTTTTTACTTGACTAGAGGACAATCTTCCTTTGTTGGTAGACGATGAACCACTATATCAGTATCTAAATCCGACATGTCTTCATACGACCAAACAAACATTTCAACATTGTAACGCCCATTAATTTAATTAATTATTTAATTAAATTATTTTGGATTATTCGTTGAAGTTGTGAGAGGTGTGGATTGTTAGTATAAGTTGTTACATTATTATTAATTAATTAAGTAGTTGATTAATAATAATAATGTTGGAATTAATGGAATAATATAATATTAAGTTGTTGGGCCTATTTTATATGGTGGTATGTAGTACTAAGGGGGGTGTGAGAATTAAGCCCAAGAGAAATAATTCTATTATTATTATTGAGTTTGATTATAATAATAGAAATTAGATGTGACAGTAAGGAGAATAGGTTTTGTCAAGAGGAAGAAGAATAAGGGTTGGAAGAGGGGAAGAGAACGTGAAAGTTGCAGAAAAGAAGGAAAAGAGCTAGAACGGAAATCAATCGAAAAAATTATAGAGCAACCTTCAATCCAAGGTAAGGGTGGGGTTCTGACTCTATAATACGGTTTATAATGATTACTATGTGGGATTTGATGTGAAAGATTGTTTGGTTATGATTGAATTATATACATTGTTGTTTGATGAGAACCAATGATTTAAGGATGAATAATGATGCCCTAATGTTGTATAATTGATGTAGAAATATATGATTATTATAATTGATGATTACCTATGATTAGAGGATGTTTTTAGGGCCTAAGGCAGGGAAACCGCAGTGAAAACGTAGTGAAATCGCAGAAAATATTCATGACAGAACAGTATGTGTCGACCCCAAAAGCCATGCGTCGATGCATGCATGATTTTAGACTCAGGATGAGTCGATACGAAGAAGCCATGCGTCGATACATGCAGGCTTTTAGACTCAGGATGAGTCGATACGTAGGACTATGTATCGATATATGCAGTGTTGCAGACTCAGTATGAGTCGACCCAACAGGATTACGCATCGACTCATGCAACGTGTTAATCCCAGTACGCGTCGACTCAAGATGTTATGCGTCGACTCATGTAGTCTGATTTTTGGCAGATCTGTTTCCAAAGGCTGTAACTTGAGTTTCCGGACTTCGTTTGAGGTGTCGTTCGAAGTGTTGGATAGCTAACGCGGTGAAATTCATTATTAAGGACTAAAATGAAGGATAAGAAGAATAATCCTAGTAACCCAAATTAGGATTAGAGTTAGCTTCCCGCGTTAATTGCTATGATGATTTTGTGAAGTATGATGAGGATAAGATGATTATAGATTGTTGCTTGGTTCATAACAGTAAGATCAATGATGGTAATGATATAGTATGACAGAATTAATAATATGTAGAGGCTTGTTAACTAGAGGTAAGCCTTAGATGATTAATTAATTATAGGCAATATCATGTTGTAGGCCTATGGCCAACATTGAGGGATTGTCGATCTATCATTGTATTGTTGTTGTGGTTAAGTTGCTGTAAAATTATGTTGATGAGTTATGTTGATGAATTATATTGATGAATTATGTTGATGAATTATGTTGATGAATGATGTTGATGAATTATGTTGATGAATAATGTTGATGAATTATGTTGATGAATTATGTTGATGAATTATGTTGATGAATTATGTTGATGAATGATGTTGGTGAATTATGTTGGTGAATTGTGTTGATGAATCATGTTGGTGAATGATGTTAATGAAGGATGTTGAGATGCCTCTAATAATTGGCAGCTATTAAGATGTAGGCTTCTGGACAACGATGATGTTGTGTTGAGATGTTGTTAATTATGGTTGTTGTTATTACATTCATGATTGTGTTGCATACATTGCATTTCAAGATGGAGCTGATGCTCATTAAGATGAGCTGTATTGACGAATATTAAGATGAAGGCTTATGCCTTGTTGATGCCTCTATTTATTGGCAATTATTTTAAGATGGGAGTTCTGCTCCAATGATACCACATGCATTTGCATTATAATTGAGTCGCATTTGATCTTGCATCTTGAGTTGTGGTGAAGATAGATTTGTTGTTGCTTTATGTTGTTGACTTGTTGTGACAAGTATTATCTAAAAGCTGTGAATTTAGTAGTTATGTCGTTTTGATGTTTTGTGGTGATTAATGTTGTTGTGAGTTGTGAAGTGGTGATGTTATATAATCTGATCTAATATATTATTTATCATACGTTTTATTATATTGTTAGATATCTCACCCCTTCTGTTTGAATGTTGCCCTATGTTGGTAACGTGCAGGTAATCAAGAAGGATAGTTGTTACCTCGTTAGTTCCAGTCGGTGTTATCGCTCTGATACGTAGCACTCGGGGGGATGAACACTTGATGTTTAGTTGTTGTTTATTATTTCAGTTGCTGAATTTTTAAGTTGATTACATGAAATAATTGTTGTCTTGAGGTTGTTTTAGTTGAATAAGATATGTTAAGTGAATTGAAGTTGAATATGTATATCCTGCTGCTTATCAATGAAAAGTTGTTGATTTTAAAGAATACATCAGGTTGTGTTCGGTTCATCCGAATTAAGTGTTATGTATTTGTTTTATATGCGGTTAAATGAAGTTTGATTTTTAGTTGAAAATGTAGCATCCTATTTATGTTGAACTCTGATTTTCTTATTATCCGCCGGGTAGAAATGGGGTGTTACAAACATAGTCATGTAACATCTGTACCAATCAGCCCTTGACATTGTCTTCTAAGTTAGCGCCGATCTTGATCTCTTTCTTGTCTTCCTCAGTACCTAGGTTGATCACTTCAATTGGCTCATCATGAGGTTGAATGGCCTTCTCCTCTTGCATCAAAAGTCTGGCTAGTTCCCCTGGTATTTCACAATCTTCTTCGCCTCCGTCTTCGGCTTGATAAATTGGATGTTCAAAGTCATAACTGGCAATAGCATAGTCATTGGCAATGAGATCCGGAGTGGACGTGGATCTGCAAGTGTGTGTGTGTGTGTGTGCGCATGTAAGATACATGACTATTTGAAAAATGCAATAAAGAAAAAGAAAGACAATGAACACAAAATTTGAGTGCAAAGGTCAAATGTTTTCCATTAAATGATCATATGATAAATAAACATGAACAAAACCCTTAACAAATGAACCATGGTTCCCCGGGCAAGGCACGTGGCTTAAAAGTCATTGTTTGGAATTAAAATTACAGGAAAAAGTTCTTGAATTGACAGAAAATAGTAAACAATAATTACTCCTCATGGAAAGAGATGGGAATGAAGTCTTTTGTGTGCCAGTTGTTGAGCTTTCCTCCGGCAGTAGGGTAAATCCATTCCTCAAAAGCACATTCATCGTCAGAGTCTTCCACAATATTTACTTCATGATTTTCGATATGAAGAGGTGGCTTTCCCACGCGAGCGTGCCTGACCTCTTTCTGAGCTTTGATGGTGAAACCCAACCCAAATTTGTCTGCTTTAAACAGAATGTCGAGGAGTTGTCCCCAGATAGTACAAATTCCACCTTCGACCACGGCACGAGCATCTTTAAGTGAAACTATTCTTGGCACAACTTCATCAGATTTTGATATGCCAGAGGAGATTTTGGTGGCGACAACCATAGGAGGATCAACTTCGAAAGCTTGACACGAAGTTTCTATAAATTCTCCATCCATCTCCACATATCTGAAAGAATTGAGGTGGCTTACCATGAATTCTTCTTCACCACAGATTGTGACTATCTTCC